CTGGCTACTGCCTCCAACCCAGGAATCCCAGAACACTTTTATTAAAAAGCCATATTTAGTCCAAGCAGCAGAACCTTTAAAAAAAAGAGAGAGTCTTGCTTTTTGTATGTTAAAACATGGTGAAGACAGTGATCTCTCTCAGATCATATCATATCAAGAGGCCACGAATCCACAATAGCTCTGCAATTACTTAAATGAGAGCAGAAAAGCCCTTGAGCACATGTAGTTCACAATTAGAAGCCAGTTAATTTTCCACAAACTCGAAATCACTCTCTCATGCCATCCTCCACAGACAAGCAGATCAAGGACTTCTCATTAAAATGACTACTTCAAAGTTCCCCTATCAAGAAGCATTGTGTCAGGCTATACACGTGCAGGAATGAGGTCTCACTATGAACACATGTATGAAGTAATGCTGAAAACTCTGCAGACACAAAAGGGTTAGGCAAGCGTCTCCTAACTGTGTCACTCAAGATATGTGAGGATGTGAAACCAAACCCACTTGCCTAATGTCACCAAGGTATTTTTTGCATGGAGCACGCCTATCAAGTTGTTGCCATTGCAAACATGGCACAGCCTTTAATGGACATCTTGCAAAAAGAGCACAGAATCACCAAAACACTTTATCATTGAATCTATGCAGTTTCAATTGAAGGGCACTGCAACCAGCTGCCAGAGGTGTGTAGAACAGGCACACACAGAGAAGGCGGTGATGAAGAGTGAAAGCCTTTTGGTGCATACAGCTGTAAAAGAGCTCCTCTAAGCTGAAATTCAACAAAGCTTCTTAGGCTAATACATACATTTCCCCAGGGGAAGAGGGCATTTACAATCAAAATTTATTTAAAAAAAATACAAATGTATGTTCTATATTCCTCTAGCCTACTCGCAAGCAAAAAACTGCCATAAAATGAAAGCTAGATATAAAAAAGATAGTGGGGTGGATACACCAAGAACCCACCCAAAGAAGCAACAATCACTGTCAATCCCTTCTAACATTGCACTATAGAGAAGCACTGCAAATTCCTGGCGATCTGCAAATGCTTTCCCCTTCCACACCCAAAAATGTAGCATGAGCGCCTGCATATGCAACTGCAGTCTGAAACACACACAGAAACACACCATGTTCACATTAAAGAATATATATATATATATGCTTACCTTTGACTTGAGTGTCATATTCAGCTATGATCTCCTTATCCTTTTTGAATTTCGCTGGCGACGTCATGTTTTCCTTGCCCCCCCCAGCAAAAAAAAGATTATCCTCAGAGCAGATCCTCCAGAATACGACAAAATAAATGCAATTTGCGTTCCTCCCAAAAACAATCACTTGGCCAGGCTCGTCTTCCCTCAACAGCAATCAGTCCATGGAGAGAGGGTGGGAGATGGAGTGTGTGTGAGCAGCAGAGACATGCAGATGTGAAGAGCTCAGCGGACAGAAAAGGCAGCAGTTTGGATTCCCTGCACCAAAACCCTTAGCAGCAGTGGTGGTGGCGGTGGCGGCAGCAGCAGCATCAGACTACAGAGAATCTGCAGCCCCCAAAGGCTTTTCCTGATTGCTAACATTAATAGCACAGCCAGGGAGTGGAAGTCTTTCTGCGCAACAACATGTTGTGTGTGGGTTTGACTTTTTCTTTTTCTTTTTATAGAGCCAGAGATGATGCAAATTAAATCCCAAATGGTAGAAGAGATGAAAGCTCCAAAGTCACTTTCTTCAGTTCAACTGCCTGCAAATTCAAATATGTAATTGACTCTCAACCAGTTATAGGCATATACAAAACAACAAATGTGATTGAAAGCTAGAAATGCAAAGTACAAATGCAAGCTACTCAAACTGCAGCATAAAAAAAATGCCTCCAATTGAAGAAAAGGGTACAATAGTTACATTTTAGGTAGAGAGCTAGGGGGATGGGGTTAATATCATTAGAACCTCCTAAATCCAAGAAAATGGGGAGATGGGGAGACAAAGGAAAACAGCCCCTGCAAAAGCAGTTTTGTGTTCCCTCTTGTTAGTTTAAACAGCAACTGGAGACAGAGCAATATGATATACTAAAAAGGGAAGTCAGACCCAAATCCTCAAATTACTTGAACTACAGGAGCTCAAAAATGAATCCACAAGCCATTGTATAAACAAGACTAATCCCCTTTGGTGTAGCTAAAGCTGCAGATCTTGGTCCAGCCAACAGACCAGCTTTAGGTTTTGTTTTTTTTATTATCATCATTGTTAATTTTAGAGGATTGAACCCCAAAACGCTGGCAAATTAAAGAGGGAGGGAGGGATACATGTATCTGCTGTAGACATCAAAGCTGATTTGGAGCCTGGGGAAACAGCAGTATGTGCAAGAGAGATGCAAGCAGAGGAAAGTAAGGACAAAACTTCTTTTTCTGAATTACAAGCTACTGTTGGCAGCAAATGTTAAGAAAAGGGGATTCGAAAAACCTGGATCCACATCCAAAGAGAGAAACAATGTGGCCAGCAGAGAGGAAATGGTAATGGCTCACTGACTAAGGAATAACAGGGTAATCCTAACCATGTCTACTCTGGTTTAAATCCTACCAAATTCAATGGGATTTATTCCCAAGCAAGTGGAATTAGGATGAAGAGCTACAGCATGAAAACACAATTGAAATCTGGCATATTTCTGCCGGTGCTAGCATATTCTGTCAGCCAGCTGTGAAATAACTATGCAAACACATTTAAAGCCCTCCCTGAAATACAAAGAGAAATCACTAAAACCTTATAGTCCATCCCAATAGGCCCTTGCAAGGTCAAAAACCATATTAGGGAAATATCTCTACTAAGCCAACCAAATATCACAAAATAGTTTGCAAGCTTTCGAATTATCCAGTATTCTTCATCAGAGTAAAATTAATGATGGTGACGCCCATGAGTGTGAGTCTCAAGGGAGAATGTGGAAATAGACAGCAGACATTCAATGAGGCATTTTAGGTGCCATAGATGTTATCAGATTCCAACAAGACTGGCTGGGAAGAAGAAGCATAACCATAGCCACCATCCCAAGTCTACCCTGATGTAGTGTTCTGAAGAACTCAAAACCTTGCACACTATTTTGTGATATTTTGGTTGGCCTAATAAAAGCATTGTGCTAATATACTTTTTGAATTTTTCTCATGGTACAATACAGCTACCTTTACTTTTTGCAAGCTCAAGGCTGTGCTTTCTCCTTTACAAGAAGTTAGCTGTTCAATTCAAAAGTCAAATGAAGCAACATTTGAAGGATATATGCTTATTCCTCTCTCAGTCCTTATTTACGTCATAGGCTTGCACAACTTGTGACCCACCAAGCTGAAAACATTCAATTAGTTGGTTCAAGTGCTTGAGAATCTGGCATCTGCCACCCGCCCAATAGTCCCAAGCAAAACCAGAAGGTTTACTGAGTCCATAGCAAACCATTGCACATGGGTGGTGAGCTGTATTCAGCTTAGTGGATCACAGGATCACAGTAAGTGTACAGATCAGATCTATGGGAAGTTAGGAATCCAGCCCTGCCTTTCCTTCTTGGTGCTGCACTTTTCAGGGAGATGATGTAAAGAGGAAATGCATCAGACTAGGAAAAGGGTTTATGGCCTGGGAGGATGAGAAGGTAGGTATATTATTGTCTGGCAAGTAACACTAGACAACTAGCTTAATGGGGCAAGGGAATCCCTCCACAGAAGCTGCTCACCCAGGAATATTACGAACTAAGACCTATATTTGAGAAGGAGGAATGCACTGCTATGGGACTATCTTCTGGGAATCAGAGTATCGCGGACTTAGTTCGGGAAGCCGCAGAGCACACGCTTCGCATGCCAGATGCTCCAGGTTCAATCCGCTGCGTCTCCAGGTAGGGCCGGGAAGAAAAGGTTCCCCCCTGAAAGCTGGGAGAGCCGCTGCCAGTCTGTGTCGACGCCGCTGAGCTTCGTAGCTTGGACCGACTGTCTGATCTGGAATGAAATCGCTTCAAGGCTCGTTTGCGAGCGCAGAGAACTGCCTTCTCCGGGGATGCGTGAGGATCCCTTTAAAAAGAGCTGGGCTTCGACGGAGCTGTGGCTATTTGTGGAGGAATGCATCTCCCTCGGGGCGAGTACGGGATGCAGGGAGTCCGGCTCCCCCCACCCCCCGCTTGCCGCAGTGGGGAATATTATGGGATGGATGGGACACCGACCCTCTCCCGGTGGACTGGAGCACGGGACGGCTCCAGCAGGGCGCCTGTGCTCGCTGCGGGCTACCAAGGGAACCAGGCAGACAAGACACACGCGCGCGGGAAGAGTATTATAGGATGGAGACTGCTGCTGTACAGCCTTCTGGAAGGAGTGGGCTTCCTTGTGCTGGCGGGAGGCTAGCATTACACGAATTGCAGCCAAGTTGGAAAAGGCGGGCGGATCCCGCTAAGGGGATATTATGGGATAGGGGATCTACCGCAGGGAATCTGCCACGGGCTCACTCCGAACTCGGGATTCCTCCGTCCCGGACGCGACTGTTACCTGCAGTGCTGCTGCCCGGACGGCGAGTCCTTTCCCCCCATGAGGCGCGTTCCTCAGGCCACCCGCTGCTCCCACGGTCCGCTCCCCTCCACAGCCCCGCTCCAGCGCCTCCGCCCATTCCACAGAGGAGCACCAATCGGGAAGGGAGGTTCCGAAAGCTGGCGGGCGCTCCAGCCAATAGCTGCGCCCCGCCTCCCTCCTTCCTCAGCCTCGGTCCCGCCACTTTTCCGTATTGGCACCGCCCACCCAGGACGGAGACGGGGCCACTCAGAATGCTCGGAGGGGACAGAAGCGGGTTGCGACCACGAGGGGCGGGGCATGCAAATACGAGCCCCGTGTGGACCAATGGGAAGCAAGGGGGCGCGTCCTCATGCCCCGCTCGTAGGTAGGAACGAGAGATGGTCAGTTTATCCAATGGCAAGCGGGGAGACGTGGGTTGTTGTCTTTTTTACCAATCAGGTGCCGGAGGCGGGCCAGATTTCCCCCAATGGGAGGCAAAGCCACAGATTCAAACTGACAGGGGACTGGGAGGCGACGCGAGGTCTTGCTTCTGAGCATCCCTCGCGCACGTAAAGAAAGGAGCCGTCCAGGTTGGGGTCGCTGGCAGGAGGCAGGGGGAATCCGGAGTCAGTCAGTGAGTGGCTGAGGTGGAATTAAAGAATCCTAAATTGGGGGCAGTAGGATTAATTGGGAGGCGGGCATGTTTCTTGCCCTCGGTGGTTGGGGAGGAGGGAATGATAGGAAGGACCCCGGGGTGTAGGCAGTGAAATAAAGCAGAATTAGCACTACTGCAGGTGCCACATAACACCCGTTCCGCATTTGTAAGAACTATACCGTTTAGTGCTGGCAGCACCTACACTTTGGAACTCCCTGCCAATTGATATCAACCAGGTGCTTTCGCTGTATTCCTTTCGCGGCCAGCTAAAATAGTTCTTGTCTGCGCAAGCCTTCACAGATGCTTAGAAATGTTGGTGTGGATTTCAATCAGTTCTAGCATTTTAACTTTTTGAATGTTTTAAAATATCGGAAATTTTTCTTGATTTTACTATCTTATCTTTTTGTATATCACTTTTTTCTTTGCAATCAAGGGGCGTATAAATTTGAAGAAATAGATAGTAACTAAATAAGGGAAACAGACTTGGATGGGGGGGGGAGAAAATCTCCCTCAATTTAATAATTAATATTGTTTAATGCTGATTAGGTAGCTTCCAGTAGAAGGTTGCACGGACCATCACCACACTTGATAAGGGCTTTAATCTGTGTGGGTAACAAGGAACGAAGAGGGTTGGTAGTCAAAGCTGATAAACTAAGAGTGCCAGTAAGTCCTGTGGGGGAGAAAGACCTTGCTGGCCCCGGAAGACAAATTATTTTTTTACCCTACTGAAAGAAGCACAGGGGCACCCTGGAATCTCCTCTGGATCATACTGGCCTTGCCATGTCCACCAGCAGCTGCAGTTTTGCAGACAGATGTGTGACTGTGCTGTGCTGCAGGTTTTGCCAGCAAGTGCTAAGTTCCCGGGGCATGAAAGCTGTTCTCCTGGCTGACACAGAGACAGATCTCTACTCCACAGACATCCCTCCCACCAGGTGAGTCAACACAAGGAGACTCAGAGAACCTTGAATTGGCTGTAATTTTCTGTTCCGCAGTAAGTATTTTGCTTGGCATGTCTCACACATTTTTTTAAAAAACATCAACTTCAAGGATATACAGTGGTACCTCGGGTTACAGGTGCTTCAGGTTACAGACGCTTCAGGTTACAGACTCCGCTAACCCAGAAATAGTACCTTAGGTTAAGAACTTTGCTTCAGGATGAGAACAGAAATCATGCTCCGGCGGCACAGCGACAGCAGGAGGCCCCATTAGCTAAAGTGGTACCTCAGGTTAAGAACAGTTTCAGGTTAAGAACGGACCTCCAGAATGAATTAAGTTCTTAGCTGAGGTACCACTGTACTTCCATTGTCCCTGAACCATAGTGACTTATCTGCTTTAGATCTAAGATCCAGTTTTGGTGGTCTTTCTCATTCTTAACTCGGTATAGTGTAATGGTTAAGGTGCTGGACTAGGATCTGGCACACAAAATTCAAAGTAGCCATAAAGACAAACCTTGGGCCAGTCACTGTCTCTTGACCAAATCTACCTCACAGGGTTGTTGTCAGGTTGAAAAGGGCACAGGAAGACCCCTGTATGCCGCCTTGAGCTAGGAGGAAAAGTGGAGTATAAATGCAATAAATAAAAATAGTACTAATGAAGGGTCTTGGCAGAATACACTACACTACAATCACCTAAATTGATCTGCCAGGTTGCTGATGCTGTGGCTGCTATCCTAACTCACATTTGTGCATGGACTATGAAAAGAGGTATGTCTTAACCTTTTCTGTCCTTCTGGGTCTTTCATGCACTCATGTGGCATACAGCCCTTATAATATCTGCCATAGTGTAGGAAAGTATTTTCGTTTTGTAAAAATGCAGAATCCAAGACTTGAGGTCAAAATAAAATATTCAGAACATGGGCTTTCTAAAGCAGGCCTGCACAACTTCTGTTATGTTCAGCTCTGGAAATCACAGCAGCCTATGTAGTCTGTCTGCCTTAATCATCTTAAATTATGAAAGCGGGGCATGATTCTAATATTAGAATAGCACCACCAACGCTGTAACAGTAGGAGAACTTAGTGGCAGTATGCTAGAACTGTCACTTTCACTTCTCTTAATAGTCAGTTTCTGGTCTACAGTATTTGTTGTGGTAACAGTCAAAAGCACAATGGGGGGTGTTGTATAAACCACAGGAAGACATAGTATCTGCTTTCCTACATCCTCAGTGATGGTGAATCAAAGTGCAACTTTCAAACATGAGAAAAGGAAGGAAGGAGTGTTGGAAGAAGGCGGCAAGTTTCATTGGTGACAACATTAATATACTGTACATATAGGAAATCATAATCATATTTAATCAAAACTTCTTAAGGGAACCCTAAACTAATGGAACTTTTGTCACAGAGAGCTAGTGCCATCAACGTGCCTTACTCAAGCTTCAGCAATATGGTTGCACATTCAGTAATTCATATGGATAAAAAGATGGCCTATACTTGGGGGTGGAAGGCTTAATGTTTCTGACAAATCATAGAATAATAGAATCATAGAGTTGGAAGGGACCCAAGGGCCATCTAGTCCAACAAGGTAATGCAGGAATCTTAGCTAGATCATACATGACAGGTGGCCACCCAACCTCTTACTAAAAACCTCCAAGGAGAGTCCACCACCTTATGGGAATCTGCTCCACTGTCAAACAGCTTTTACTGTTAGAAAGTTCTTCCTGATGTTTAGTCAGAATCTCCTTCCTTGTAACCCGAATCCATTAGTGTGGGCAACAAGGAACAAAGAGGGTTGGTGGTCCTACCCTCCAAAACCAGAGAAAACAAGCTTTCTCCATCTGACAGCCCTTTAGAATCTAAATTTTACTATCATTATTAACTGAGTTCCCAGAGAATAAAATGGTCAGCCAGTACTGCTGGTAATTTATTTGAGAAGATATACAACAGGCAACCCCAACCTTCGGCCCTCCAGATGTTTTGGACTACAATTCCCATCATTCCTGACCACTGGTCCTGTTAGCTAGGGATCATGGGAGTTGTAGGCCAAATCATAGGGTGGGCCGCAGGTTGGGGATGCCTGATATACAAGGCCAAAGGGAACTCCACTTGGCTTTCAGGTGGGTAGAACTGGAAATTTATTATTGTTTAATATATACATAGGAATCTGTGTTATATGGACTCAAAAGAGATGAACAGATGTAGAAGACATTGGTCTAGCTCAGTATTGTCTACACCAAGGTAGCCAACTCTGATTAGCCCCAGGCAGCATGGTCAGTGGTCACAATGAGAGGGCATCTGGAACACACAGTTGGCCAACACTAGTCTATAAGGATGGGCAGTGGCTATCTAGGGTTTCAGAGTCTTTCTTAGCCCTACCTGCATATGCTGGGGAGTGAACCTGGGATCTTTCTTCTGCATGAAAAGCTTGTGCTCTAGTACTGAGCTATTATCTCTCCGGCCCCATACATAATAGTTGTATATCAGTGCTCTGGGAAACGTACAGATTTCAAGAGAGCAAATATAAAATCAAAGAGTAAAATAATTTTGAACTGCAAAGTGTAAAACGAGTTGTTAAAAATGGCACAAAACAGCTTGAAATTAAAAGTTCCAAAAGCCAACATCAAGATTCATTCAATACAAGTTAATATATATTTTAATCAAATGACAGAAATGTTTCTTAGCTGAGACTTTCCCCACACTTCGATATTATATGGTATAAATGTTAAGTAACTGACAAAACCTTAATTGAATTTATTCTGTGTGGTTACAAATGGCATTTCTATGATAATGTTGAACAATGAAACAATGCTGACTATTGCTATTACAGAAATGTGTTAATGGAATTCAGCAAACCTCTTACTTCAAACTGAGATATTAAAAGGAAAGCTATGTTTTAGTGCCTCGGGAAATTATTTATCATGATTGGTTTCTTTATAATGTAATAATTGATTAGCATGGCAGCCGGGGGTACTGTACTCTGTTAGGGCTGAGCAGTTAAGGGAGAGCTTAAGTGTTGAGAAGCATCTACATTTTGAAACTCTAAATAAAAAATGGCAACACTATAACTGATTATTGGTAGTAGCTGCTTGCCACCTGAATCTTATCTACCATAGCAACTCCCAGGGATAGCTTTTAATTTTCTGTCTAATATAGATCAGCTCTGGGAAGAGGTCTGTTTGCTGTGAATTATACAGAAAAAACTGTTTAATCCTGTCAGGAATGCAGTAATGATCAGACTGCTTCATTTGTAAGCAAAGGAACACACATCCAAGAGCAAACACAGATTAATGGTTGTTGAAAACTATTCAGTTGCAGGTGCCGATGGAATGATTGGTTGTCGCTTCCTCTGTTGTACAGGATGCTGTCGGCACTCTTAATAAGTCTTCTACACCTGTTCATCTCATTCTGTTGCTATGATTCATGGCTAGCAATAGGTAAAGTGGCTCTGGGCTGCAACGCTGATGGAATGGTCACGCTTGGCTGTAGAGCCCACATCTCCCTCTGCTTCATCATGAGAAGCAGAAACAAAATTGCTGTATTGAGTAACAAATATCAACAGACTAATTCTTGGACAGAAGCTCTATGGTAACATATTGCACTGGTTGGTACTCTTCCACCTGGCTGGCTACACCAGGAGGCTGGGTCACACAATTTGGAGATGTTTTTAGGGTTGAAGCAGACTAATCTATTGTTACTAAAGAGCAATAGTGATTCTCTTAGCTATTGTGGAATGATCACAATGGCTTGAACTACAGGGTTCAAGCTGTTTTTGAAGGCAGTTTTGACCTCTTATCTGATTTGCTCCTTTTGCAAGCTTAGGCAACAATCCTGAAACCTCTTACTGTCATGTGGTGCAATCCTTTAAACTAATGGAGCTTTTGTAGGAAAATTTGCTTCAGAACTAGGCCCACTTTGGAAGAAAATTGCTTTCTTACAATGTGATCTTATGCATGTTTAGTTGGAAGTAAATGCCACTGAGTGGGCTGGAATTTGTTTTCTGGTAAATATGAAGAGGATTATAGCCTGATCCAAACTTTCCCTTTAACCACTTACCCAGACAGGTGGGAAGACTGCTAAGAGGCACAAGGATAGAGCACTTTGTCTGTCCCTCCAGCAACCCCCTGTATTTCTGCCTGTGAAGGACACTTGGACTCTTCCATGCTGAGCACAGAAAAAAGGGGGGCACTGCTTCCTCTCCCTCTCTGTCTCCTGCAGCTCCCTGCACTACTACGCAGAGTGTCGAGTGGTGACCATTGGCCATGTTTTCGAGGCTGATAAGAGTTGGAATTCATTAGCATCTCGTGGGCCAAGAGTTGCCCCTCCTTGCAACATAGGAGCCAATAATGAATGCCTCTTGTCTTAATTAGAGTGAAACAGCATTTCATATAAGTCACGGGCACCACAACTTTATAGGGGTTGCTAAAGTGTTTTCTCCAACAGGCAACTCAGCTCGATCATTTTTGAAGAGACAATGCAAGGAAAAGACTACCTATCAAAACTCATTAAACTAAAAGCTGGATCAATGTACAGTTATGTCGTATATTGCCTTTCTTACAATGGCTGTTAGCAAAGAGAGGTTTACAATGGCTGTTGGCACATATAGATTTGTAAACTAACAATAAACAAAGGGAATAGCCTTCTGCTGGAACTTTTATTGCTACAATACTTCACATTGTGAAACTGTGATCAAGTTCATTTTTAACTACCTACAGTCTATTTCTCCCCCCAGTACTGTTGGCTTCATTGGAAACTGCTATTTCACAGAAATCTGCAAATGTAAACTGAAGAATGTGGCCTGTTTGAAATGGTAAGTAAGTAATGCTGCAGTTTAACTTAGCATAGTGTTTTGAATAGCTGTGCGGCCGCTACCTCTTCATTCATTTGTGTGCAAGAGCCTGAAGTGAACCTGATTATCTAAAATTTGTTTGAATTTAACTATCAATCATCACAGAAATCCTTGGCTGACAATGTCCAGGATAAATTCCAGCAATAAAATGGTTGGCATAAAGAGCTCCCAGATTTACTTGGGATGACTGGACTATTCTGATATCCTCAGGATTTCCAAAACTATGGTAGTACAAAGCAGAATAGGTTATTGGCATGTGTTATCTTCACCCACCTTTCTCCTGGCTTTCATTCTATGCTTTAATAGCAGGCAGACAGGCAGAAATGTGGCAGGTGAAGTTTTTCATTGTGCAGAGATGGAAGGAGTTTTTCCTCCCTAATTTCTGCATGTCAGTATGCTGTTGATGGAACAGGGACAGGGTTAAAATAGGGAGGGGGCAGTAGTAGCTGAAACACATAAACCCAAAGGAATTTGACTACGATACCGCACACATCAAGGTAGCTAGATTGCCAGTGGGGCAGAAGATAGCCTTCTCTGTGGCCGCTTATTAGATATTCATGAAACAGCACAATAATTAGCAAATCATGATTTTACCCTGTGGCTTGTGTCCCCCACCCCCAAATCAGAGAAATTGTAGAGAAGTTCAGTATAGATTCATATCTATTCAATTTTCTTCAATTTAATGGCTTTTATTCTAAAAATCTAACTATCAGCTACCATAAAATGGTCCTGGTTTTAGTCATCTCTGTATGAATTTGTCATGACATCAATAATCATTCTATCCCATGCTTTCTAGAGCCACAGGGATCAGTAGGTCAGTATTTTCCCATTTTTGTGATATGAGGTGAGGTGAGCTTATGTTCTGTAAAATAGTTTTTATATTTAAGAACAGGCAACATCTGTTGTTAATACATTCATAATATAGATGCCCATTTGGGGGTTAAAAAGAAAGTTTCAGGCTGAACATACAGGCTATTTCTGGACTGTTTCCCAAAGGCATCTTGCTCAGTATTTAGTCAAACATTCACAACTAGTTTTACTGGATGGGGTGGGATCCTGTTTTATTTACTTGCTATTTACCATGAGGACATTCATTTTACTGTTGATTTTAGAGCTTACTCTTCTGTCTACTCTTTCACCTAAGAACCTGTGTGTCAGATACTCTTTGTTTGCTTTTCTAGTGGGAATGTCGTAGGATACCATGTGATCGCTCCATGCAAACCTTGTTTGCTGTCCTGCAACAATGGGCACTTCTGGATGTTTCACAGCCAGACTGTTTTTGGAATCAACAGGCTCGATTCTTCCGGTATGGAAAATTTCATTCCACACACAAAGTTTATTGTTCTTATCCCCTTGGAGTGTTCTATTCCAAAGCTTGTACTACAGTGAATTGGGTGGTTCTCAGAAAATGTATACCAAGAGAGTTAGACATACTTCAGGCTTGTTGGACCTACCGTACTTTAATTTTTATTAAAACATCAACATACTCCCAGGTTAAGGAGCAGGGTGCCTCTGAGCACAAGCACTCAGCCCAGGAATTTGTTTTTAGCACCAGATCTGAGCTCACAGTTCATAAAATAGCAATCCAAAAGGGGAAAGCATGAATGAAAAAGAAGTGATAAATACTCAGGCAAAAACCATCTTGAACTGCCATGTTTGAGAACAAGGCCTCAGATGTATAACAGAAGCATAGAATCATAGCGCCATAGTCTCATTTCTGAGCAACAATGTGCAGAGCTGAGTGGAGTGGGAGGCCAACCAACCAGAAGAGTCTCTCAGGTATACTTGCCTGGAGGTAGAGTCAGCATCCAAAGTCTGGTCCATTCCTAGGGTTGTGCGAACAGCAATTCACATTGTCAGAGGCGTCAGGGAATTCGATGATCATGGGGTCAAGACGAGCAGGAAGCAGCAAGGTAGGGCCAGAAACTACAAACATTGTTACCAGCATCTGGCTGCTGCTGGGAGCTCTGCTTAAGACAGCTGAATCCAGCTGGTTCTCACCAGTGCCGCCTTCTCTGTGCTCTTGAAGGCTGATCAGCTGCAGGTGGAGACACTCCGCCTTCTCCCCCTTCAGGCTGATGTTCAGCAGGCGAAGCTGACTCCTGGCCCAGGACGCCTAGAGTTGGAATTGGACCCCAGGGGTCATCTAGTCTCACCCCTTGCAATGCAGGAATGTCAACTAAAGCATATAAGACAGAGCATGTGGGAAAGAACACAATGGAAGCACATACCACCCACAAGCCACACACTTCACCACTGCCTGCAACAGAAACATTTCCCTGCTGTTCACAAGTTCAGCTGCTATGCGAAAGGGCTCTATATGTGTGTACTGATTTCTGTACAACAGGCTTCAGATGGACACTGCCCCAGTCAGCATTTCTGCTGCATGCAGTGATGGCAAGGTGTGTCACTGAGGAATATACCCAGAGTGGGGCCAAGTCCCGTGACACCCCACCACCGGTGTTCTTTTCACATGCGGTGGTGGGTTGTGCAAACCTCTCTCATTTAAACTACCTTATAGTGAAGGAAGGCTGTTATAGAACTTGTTTTCCTGAGAAAGTAATTGTCCCTGCTGCAGCAGTAGGACCGCTGCATCTTTTAACAGGGGTGAGGTGAGGAAAACCTTTAGTCCGCCAGACGATGCTGAACTACAACTCCTATCAGCCCTGGCAAGCCTGGCCAGTGGCCTAAGTTGGCAGGAATTGCAGTTCAGCAACATCTGGAGGGCCAACGGTTTCCCAAACCTGTTTTAACAGGGGAAAAGAGGAGATTTTGGTAGTTGTTGCTCTTCCGTTCTGTGACATAAGAAGCTACAACTTGCTGAAATTCTTTTATATCAAGGTTGGGGAACCTCAGGCAAGGCAACTGAATGCATCCACCCATGCCTATCTCTGGCCTTCAGGACTCTCCACAAAGTTCACACTGACCCATGCCCTTCTTGAGTACTTTTGCCTGGCTGGAAATCAGCTGTGATAATGCATGGTTTGTGCAACCCTCTGGCTTTTGTATGGCTGGAATGTAGCTTAATGTGTAAAGGGTAAGATCTGCACTCCTTTTACCACCCACTTTTGCTTCACTGCCCCACCCACCACTAGCATTAATTAGGCCCTCAGAAGGTTGTTATAAGGGGACATGGCCCTCGGGCTACAGAAGGTTCCCTACCCCCAGTTTATAGGAACCTAGATGCTGGAAGGTTGACCAGCCCCGCTCTAGAATGTGGCATTTAAATACAGAGGTGGAATTAGAGGCTTAAACTGCATGTTCATGTTACTTTGTTTATTAGCCTTTATCTATGGCTAGGGTTGTAGCTCCCTTCAGCAACGTGTTTTGCTTTATTAGCATGAGATCCTGGTCAGAGAGAGTGCAATGGAAGTTTTTTTGCCTTTTCTTTTTAAGGTACAAACTTACTGCTTTGGGGCAACTTGCCAGATTCAGAGGAAAGCTTGGATGAAGACACATCCAGCATCTCTGAAGACGAGTACATCCGATAAATGTCATCAGCAATGTACTGCATGGTGAGCCTCTCACACTGACAAGAAACACGATGTGCAAATCCCAGCAAGGCAGAGGGGAAGCACTTCAAAGGGTAATAATACCTGTTGACCTTACACCGTCTGATCTGCTGGGCATCCTGTTGTACAGGACGACTAGGATTTGAAGGTCAAAAGGCAGCCCTCGCTCGCTTTCCAGAGAGCTACCCACCATCAGTATGTCCCCCTGGCTTCTGCAACTGCTTGCTGTTTCCCGTGTCCTACAGAATGGCGTTTATGTACAGAAGATCAAGGAATGAGCTCCACATCGCCATCGCTCATTGTTGCACTAAAAAAGGTCAGGAAACAACACGGGGAAAGATCCAGTGGTGTTTGATATGGCAAGTTATCTGTTGGCCTGCATGACTCCTTTTCCCTGTTTTGCTGGCTGAGTCAGGGGTTGTGCATGGCCTCTCTTTAGGAACCACAGTTAATGCTGCTACAGAGCACCGACAGTGAATACTGACTCTGTGCTGTTGGCTGCCTTCCAGAATCCCATGTTTGCATAACATATTGGGAAGCTCTTAAATCTAGGTATTTTTGCTTCCCTCGTGCAAGCGCAGCACAATGTTTGGTTCTGCTCAAAGGCCAGATTTTGAGGAAACCTACTGAATAGCTTTTTCTCTGCCAGTGCACATACGGCCAACAAGTGTGAGGACATCGCCTGGGAACTGGCATGCTTCCCTGCTCCTGATGGAAGGAGAAGATGCAAAGAAATGCTAACAAAAGAAAACAGAGACCCCAGCTTCTGGACCTGCAGATATCCCCTTTAATGCGTGCAATCAAGAAACAAAGAGGCTTAAAAGAATAGTGTCCAAGCAGCAGCATTTGTAACTGTGTTTGCCCGTTTCTCCAGTTGTTTACAAGAAGAAACGAGCAGTGAGAGTGACGCTGAAAGAGAATGTAGTAAATGCAGGGCCAGGTTAAAAAAAAAAAATTTCTTCTGGTTTCTCTACTGCTGGAACAAGAGTATTCCCTATGTAGCTAGTGGCACAGTGCCTTTTGGAAAGAAGGTAGCAACCAGGCATGGCTTGAATTGCATCTAGCCAGTAGTGCACTGAAGTCTAAAGTAGCAGAAGCAGCTAAGTAGCTGCAGGTAGAACATTATGCTTTTTCAGAATGATGTAAGTGTTATCTGGAGCATGATTTTTAAAAAGTGTACTAATATCCTCTTTGGAAGAAGGAAAAAATATGAGAATTTTCAAGCTGTGTTGATACTTTCAGCACACTAGTTTATAGGCACTTTAGGGCCTGGTGCAGATCCAGAATCTTTGCCGTGGTGAGCCTACAACTCTAGTCCCCACATTGCTTTCATTCACTTGAATGGAGCTAGGCATAAGTTCAGGGAGCAGCTTATTCCAAATGCTTCCTGGATTTTGCTGGTGCTGTTGGTGTTTGCAAGATAGCTTGGGGAAGATGGTGCTGAATGAATTTCCAGAAGTCGGTTATGTTTTTACGTTTTCTTGGTGTGTAGGTGTGATCATTATGTGAAACCCTCCAAAAGTTATAGACTGAGTTATTCATAACAGTGGAAGTGTCTGCTAGTAAGTGGTGCAGTGAGGTAATTTAGACTTTCAATTTAATGAGTGTTCTCTCTCTCTCTCTCTCTCTCTCTCTCTCTCACACACACACACACACACACACACACACACTTTGGATCAGGGGTGAAAAGCCTCCAAATCTGGTCCTCATAGTTCTCTAGGTCACAATTCTCACTTTTACACTGATTATTTTTGCATGGTTGGTATGCGTCCTTGAACTCAGATGCCTCCTACTTTTCTAGGTAGATGATAGAGAAGTGTGTGTGTGTGTGTGTTGGTCTAGCCCACTGCACAAAAGTAGCTTTTACATTTGTTGTTCCACCCATTTTTGCTGCTGGCCTCAGCCACCACTAGCAGGTGGCCTCAAAGGGAACGAGGCCTTCAGGCTGCAAAGGGTTCTCTATTCTTGCTTTCTATGGTGTAAATTACTTTGCTTACTTCAAAATGTGGTACGCCAGCCCTGCTGTACTTTCTATGAGCCCTCCTGCTCATTCTGCTGAGTGAGGGCCTCACCTTCTGCCCCAAAATGCCTCCCTGGCAACTCCTTTGCTACCAGTTTGCAGCAGGTTCAAATGTCTATCAGCTATACGAGCTGTATATAGTAATAGTCGGTGTGCTGTGTGTATTCTGCGGTTCCACAAGAACAGAATTCAGTATCTGGAGATTCTCACCTTTTATTTATTTTTAAAACTGCCTTCTAGCTGTTAAGGCTTCCAATATAAGCCTGGTGAAATCTCTGATGCCAAAGCAGGGGGCTTAAGCTGTTGCTTTCCTCCCAGCCAGCAGAAGCAAAGCAAATAGTGAGCATCGTTTACCCAGGTTATGGAACTCAACTTCTCTTGGAACTGACTTCAGTTTAATACCAACTTATTTAAAGCACAAAATATTTGCAGCTTTAATAAGAGCACCCTTCGTATACACAAAATATACTAAGGTAACACCTGTCCTAAAAAAATCACAAAATTCACTCTGAGAATGTGTTTTAAAGTGAGAAATTGACTTAAAATGTCAGAAAGATCAAGACCTTCAGTTGTAAAATAAGAAAGGCAAAAAGTGGGGGAACAGCATTCCCAACAAATCAGTTGTGCAGTAGGATCCTGACCATGTTTACTCAAAAGTAAGACCTACTGAGTTCAAAGGACATTGCTCCCTACTAGTAAATGAGTTTAGGATCAGGTGACACCCGAATGGGGTATGGGTAACTGCAGAACATTATGGAAGGGAAGCTCAATGCACCACTGCCAGATTCAAGTGGCAGCTAAGTATTTTGAAGAACATCTAGCTTAGCCATTAGAACAATTGCATTTTGTTTATTCGTTATGTGTGTGTGTGTGTGTGTGTATACACACAAACAGTGAAAAAGCAGCACCATGTGTTACTTAGTTAAGCACAAATATTAAAAATCCTGTGATTCTTGTAGCTACCCAAGGACATAAAGATTATAAACACCTGTTACTTTGTTCAGTGTTTGCACTCAACATCTCCTGAAAAGAAGCCTCAAATAAACAAGCTGCACCATGCACTTCTGATGCAGAATATGAGACTTTGGCAGTGGAGTATTATTTTTATTCTACGAATTGGGAAGTAGAGGTGTAGATCTGTGGAACAAGGGGAGCAATGACCCTCTAGATGCTGTTGCACTCCAATTCTCGTCAGGCCAGTATGACCAGTGATCAGGTGTTGGTGGGAGCTAGAGTCCATCAACACCTGGAGAGCTATGGATCCCACCGCCCCACCCCTTGCTCTAAAGCAACTTTCAGAACATATGCTGGACCTTTAAAAGGAATCATGAGTGTCTTCACATGGAAGCATTATGTAGGGTTCAGCCATCCATGCCCGAAGTATTGGAGAGGGCCTAGGTTCAATCAATGTTGTCAAATGATCTGGAGTAGCAGGGCTGTGAAAGAAAGCAGGCAGTGCTGGGCTAAATGGACTTACAATCTGATTCAATATGAGAGCTTAATGGGTGCTTGTAAAAGATAAGAAACAATTTTGGGAAACCATCTGGGTTGTGTAAGCAAACTGTTGCAGGCAAAGGATGATAACAAGCCTTCCAAACTCCACAGATCAGTTGGATGCTGCATAGGAAGAAAAATCCAATGAGAAAATTAGGGTGCAATCCTTGTCTATGCATTAACGCTATTGAATTCATGGGGACTTACCTCTGAGTAAACCTGTATTGGCTTGCGCTGTTAGAGGTACTCCAAACGAAAAAGAAAGTGTGCATGATTCAACAGAATCCATGACTCAAATCTGCTTAGTTCAGCTGAATTAGGTATGTCCCTATGTTTAGCTCTTGCCGGTCTGTCTGCTGTCAAGCCACCCCAATTATAACACTGCTTTGATCTAAGATACACAAGGCTAATATTCACTAAAGTTTCGGTAGTAATATTAAAATACAATGTGGGCATAAGCAATAAACTGATATATTTGTTTGTAATACTGCAAGGTAATAGTTCATAAATTTTCAGGATAGTGTTGATTAAATTACTTTTCATTGTACAGGCCCTAATCCTGCTGTGAATGCAACTGGTTGTGTATGTTATATTTATAAATGGCAATATTTGAGCACAGGGAGGTCAAAGTAATGCTGTTTGTTGAACTCCAAAAACCTGAGTACATAAACTACTATCGAAAGAGTGTGTGTGTATGTCACTAAAACAAGGTATGCAGGCATATATGCATACTTTTCTTGTTGCAGTGAAGAAGAATCAAATAACTGTCCTCAGAATTTCATAGCAGGGGGGATATCCTGATTCTGCACCTGCTTAAACTAGAGCTCTCTCTCTCTCTCTTTCTCTCTCTCTCTCTCTCTTACACACAGAGTGAGAACATACATACAAACAAGTGGCCTATTTGGGTTTTGAATTTGAGACAATGTGAAATGCAGAGGCTTGCCATACCCAAACTGGATGGCACGAGTAGAGCCATATAAAATTTGAATTCCAATAAAAGCCAGTGTACATGCTTTCCCTCAGGTCTGTTTTCAGATGCCACACACTTGTGTGCAACAATATCAGTTTTACTGGTGATGCATTCTCTTTTCTTTTCTATGATGCATTATTCAACACCGAGTGTAGCTGGCTGCACAGGTTGAACAGAAGGAAGGAAGAGGGGAAAAGTCACAGCAAGACAACAATAAATCATTTCAGCTTCTTTCCAAAAGGAACTGTGTTAAGGGGGAGGGATCATATCAATTCCCCCATTTTTTCAGTATAATTTAATGTATAACCTCTAAAAAGCATACGCTGAGCACATGTAGGGATTCGGTTTCCACTGAAACGCAGCCATTGCTGTGATACAAGAGGCCAGCTCACAAATGCCACATTGCAAGGACACCAGAACAAAAGGCTGCCTGTAATAATTAATGATGCCTTTTTCTGCCTATGAGGCAAGCTGAGTGTGATGGAATTAAAACCTACAGCAACTAGCACTGGACTCTCACTCTTTAGCCCACTAAAATTGCACCTGGCCATCTGGGTGCATGTTATCCAAGAGGATGACTTTGAACAGTAGAGCCTTCCATAAATGCAGGATCCATGATGCAGTGCTATTATGCAGGCAGCAGTATGTCCATATCTTGCTGTAGGCAAATAGCTCACTCACATGTGTGGTTTCTGTTTGAAAGAGGACACGGGTGTGGGGGAAGGGTGGAAAGTGTTCTAACAGGCATGTTTTGTCTGCTCTTCCCATGAACTCTATAACCAGCTTGCCAAAAGCAGCAGCCACATCTCAATGGTATCTTGTGTGCAAACATTCCTAAGTCTTTCATCAATGCTCCTTGTCAAAATGTATGCTTTAAACTAAAAGTGGTTGCACTCCTCATTGATTTCTTTTACTCAAACGAAGCTAATTTTGGACAGCAGTAAAAGAAAACAAGATGCCCAGGTCTGGACTCTTCAAAAGAAATCTCACGCTTCATGTGGTTTTGGCAGCTGTTTGCCCATCATCTGTGGTTCTTCAAAATACTGACAATTTGATGTCTCTGGGTAACATCATACTCCAGGAAAATTAGCTCAAAATGTCTCCTACTGGTTTCCATCTGTATGTCAGTGTACACAGGAACTTGTACGTAAGCTTGAGAAGCCAGGAGCTTTCTCAGTAAGGAAGCATCATGCTGCTTCTCTCCAACAACACAATTCTTTTAAAGTTCATATTAAAACCCTACTGAACACTACACTTCACTATTTTTGCAATTATGCCTCCTTCTTTAATCATATTCCGATATCGGATGCAACACTGCAAATTGTATAAAATGTGTGCACGTCATTCTTTCAAGGAAGCTAGAACCACAAGATGTGCATAAGCATGACCACAGATTTCCAGAGCACAATTGCACCTACCGATCTGTCTATTTAGATGTATATTGGTGAGTAGGGGCTTATGTATGCGCTCACACACACACACACACACACACACACACAATCAGGGAAATTGCATTAAAACAAACATCAATACCAAGCCCTCTTCACGTGCCACTCATTTAAGAGGGCAGCACAGATACGAAGGGGCTGCTGGGCCATTTGTTTAACCCCCCCTCTGAGGATGCACAGCTCCTGCTGGCCCCTCACCTGTTGATGTTTGAATCAGGAAGTCTTTTCTGTCTATGTAAGCTGCCTGCATGATTTAAAACCCTGTTACTAAAACACATGGGGAACCACTAGGGAGAGAAAAGGCTCCTTGCTTTAGACATTTATTCTTCAACGGGTGAGGGGTTGGGAGAAGCTGTGCATCTTTGGCGGTGAGCTAAACAAATGGCCCCGGAACCTATTTACATGAGTAGCATGCACAGAGTACTCTAGCTGAAAGCAAGCCACTGATGTCATTGTCTGTTGTACTCAGTGGAATTGGCTGCAGTAGTGGATAGATTTGTTATAAAATATGATCTACTAACTACATGCCTGCAGGTATTCATTCATCTTATCTCAGCTTTGCTCTTACTGGTGGAAGATGTACCAACAGACAGCCAAAATGGTGGAGAAAGTATTAGACTGAGTTTAGGGAACGTACAATCTTACAGTTGGCAGGGAACTGCCTCAAATGCCTTCCCCCTCCAGCAAACTCATTGAGAATATCACTGCTTCCCCCTGTGTTAGCACTTTGTGCCATCAGCGGCAATTACACCAATTCCCACCCCCATCTCACACCTATTTGCATGTGTACCAAAGGACCAGCAACTGGGCTTTGTTAGTTCCAGAGCTTACAGTAGCCTCAGCATTTATTTTCAGTGCCATGGTCTGTTCCTGAAAGGCACGGAGGTGTTGCTGAACAGATTCAGAGTATTGTCACTAAGAAGGAGCCTCCACACAACCAGGATTAGAAGAATTTCCAGATCAGATGTTTCTGTTTCCAGACAGTCCTGAGCCTCAGCATTTCTTCTTTAGAAATTAAGTACTCATTAAGAAGGAATGTGGGCATACTTTCACCACCAACCCAGCTATTCAATACACACTTCCACCATTTGGTGGACATTTTGTTAGTAGTAAAACCATAACTTGGAGTCTTTGGATCACAGTGTCCGGTAGCTGAAATGAAGCATGACACAGTTTTATGGGGAAAGAGTGAATGGAGGACAGACTGCGGAGATGGGTGGGTAACCTTGAGACTTTCTTGTTCTGTCGAAAGAATCAGCCTGAGATTTATTCACACCTTCAAAAATTAACCTGATGCGCTTAAAGAGAGGGTGGGTCTTGAAGCAAAAACATCTGGGCTCTCCCTTTTTTCGCCTGCAGAGGATGGGAGAGGCTCCCCTGTGCAGAGGCAGTGAAGTCTGGGCACGTCAGTCTGTCAGATTTATTTATTCAGTCACCCAGACTGGAGTAGTTGCTTTTATCTTAGCAGACAACTGTTCCACCTAGTTGAGGTAATTCTTCCTGTTATGAGGAGTGCCCACAAATACGTTCGTAAGCCAAATGGCAGCTTCCCCAAGAAAGAAATCCCTGTTCATGTCCAGCATGCTCTCAGCTGATGAGCGAGATCTGACCATTTCTGACATGCCGCATTGTCATTTGATATCATAAGAGAAGAAGCTAGGGCAAGGTTAGCCAATTGGTGTTATATTTGCCAAAGCACCTGTAGTTCTTAAATGTCTGAGGCAGGTCCTCAATAGATAGCAATCCCTAATATGGGATGTTGTGTCCAACCGAGTTCTACTCAGAGTAAATTCAGATTGAAATTGATGGACCTTGGTTAGTCATGTCAATTAATGTTGATGGTGATCAAGGGAAGGATGAGGACGCATTGCTGGAGAAGAAAAACGGGCTAAGCGTAAACCAAAGGACAATAGCTGAACCAAACATTGCCAGTGTTGTGAAACACCATAGATCAGCAGTGGCTAACCCAAGGCCTTCCATATTTTGCTGGACTCCCAACTCCCATCATTCCTGACCACTGACCGTGCTGGCTGGCTCTGTGATAGTCCAACAATATCTGGAAGGCACCATGTTGGCTACACATGTGTCACAGATGCACTATAAGCAAGAAGTATTTATCAGCCATTACTTTAATATTAATAACCAACCAGCTATATTGGTTATTCTTTTTGGCTTATGCTGTCCATTCCTTGCAGATTTGCAACTATGGCCATGCCTTGTTTCTGTTGTAGAATGGTAGGGAGGCTTGCTTAGCACCTTCATTACATATCTTTAGGCACCAGGCAAAAAGGTTTCTCTTCAACCAGGCCTTTGGCTAATTAACATTCTACAGATTTTTAAATATTTTTGTGGGAGGGGAGTTATTGGTTTCTTTGTGTTTTATTATGTATTTTGTGTTCTCATTTTGTATTTTTATGTTGTGAACCGCCCTGTAATCTTTGGATGAAGGGCTGTATATTTAATAAATAATATATATATATATATATTAAAAAATTAAAATAAATTTAATAAATTTAATAAATAATAATGAAAATATTAATAGCCTGTGGGGATTGCTGGATCAATGAATCAGAGCTCTGCCATGCTGGCATGTACTATGTGAGACATCTTGAGAACACCAAGAAACCAAATGTTTTCAGTTTGATTTGATTTGATACGGCAAGAAAAGACTTGCAAAAGCCAGTCAAATTGAAAGAATGAGACACACTGCATCAGAGAAAGGATTTATTATCAGAAAGCTGCCTAAAATACAGGTTATGGAATGGAAAAAGATAAATACCCATGGAGAATAGAAGAGACACTGGTATTTTGAAACATTCACCTTTAGGTTAGGAACAGCATATTGTAGACTGGAACATGCACGGTATCCTTGGGAACCAAGAAGTAGATAATAAATCAGCGGTGTCAGTGTTTATCAGAAACCTCAGCTAATCAAAGATGCAGTTATTGTAGGAACAAAGAAACTCCAGGATTAGTCCCAGAACCCCTACAATGGTATCCCAACAGGATTTAACCTGGAAAGAAAAAGGTTCTTT